GAAAGTTTGAGGGTTGGTAGTGGGGAAAAGTTCTTTCAAGTGCACATCAACAGCAAAACTGTCTGCTGAGCCCTCATTCTGCTGCCTGTTGGTGCAGCTGAGTATAGAGCAGAGAATCTACTTTGGTTTCCATGTTGGGTACCAAGAATATGCCTTGGAATTGGTGTTATCCCTGGGAGTTTGAACCTGTTTTGTATGAGTTTGAACAGTGTGGATGAGTATTTGATAGGGAGGAAATGCAGGAGTGTGCTTTGGCTTGGTCTGACCTGTCCTGGAGATACACATATTGTGTAACTTCCCTGCAAAGACTTTATTTTTATAACTTAGATCCCTGGAAATTAGACGGAAGGTACTAGATGGATTTGTGTTTGGTTGTGGGTGGTGCTGTTCTCTTGACTAGTGGTCTGAATTTAAGTCGGAAGTGACTTGCTGAGTTTGGTGGAAGCAAGGGAAGAGCTGTGTGTATTCATAGCCTAGTAAATTTAATATAAGCTGATATTCCTCTACAGTGCTTGACACTCACAGCGAGTACTGCTGTGCTGCTAGTAAAAATAGATTGGACTTGTTCTGACCTTCTAAAAATGCCCCTAATACAGTAGCACAGGCTTTGCCTTAGAACATCTGACTTTTAATTCTGATTGTGAAGTCAAGTGAGGTAAGTAGAATTTGGATCAACTGTAAATGTCTTAGCCACTTAAGCAAATCCTCTTGAAGAATCATACTTGCTTGCCACCTGCTTTTACTGAGGATGTGTAGGATGATTAAATACTGGCGTGTTGTGAGGTGATCTCCCTTGCCCATACCACTGGTTTGGTACCCAGCAATCCTTTCCCAGTACCAAAACATTGCGACTCTGAAAACACATGGGTTAAACTGCTTACTGGGGGAACACAGCCAATGGGTTTGGTGTGTGCTTTCCCCTGTGATTATGTGGCTTATGTGATCAGGATGTGAACAGTGATCTGAAATGCTCATGGTTTATGGAGCTTTTGTTTTTTTCCATAGTTTTCAGTTGACCAAAGAAATGGTGATGGAGAAGCCAAGTCCCCTGCTGGTCGGGCGGGAATTTGTGAGGCAGTACTATATTTTAACCAAGCACCTGACTATTTGCACAGGTAAAGCTTTGCTTCACTTTGTGATCTATTTTTCCATGTGAATTCCTCAATTTGTAAGCTAAAATTGATAAGTGAGCTTATTACCATGCCTTGGCTTGCTGAATTTGGACACTTGAAAATCAGATTTCCTCAAGACAGACTCTGGGTGTAGTTTGCTTTCGGTTTTGATCAGCTAGATTAACACATGGATAATGAGGATTACAGGAATTCTTTAAATATCTGAGTTCTGGTTGTAACTGAAATGCTACTAAACATTTATTTAAGGCACAATAAAGAAGAAAATGTAGAACAAAAGTGTGTTGCTTGCTTCTCCTGGTTGTAATCAATATAAATTGAAGTTGGATAAATGTTATTTAGTTAAGCATTTTTGTAGTTTTGTCTTGGTGCAGTGCCCCCGACAAGGGAGAAGCATTGAAAATGTTGTATGCTCATGTACTGACATCTCTCAGGAGTCATAACATACCAGCAGCTCTTTCTGAAAGGAAAGTCAGGGAAATTATGAATGTGCTGCAAACTACAATCTGTTATCTAAACAAATTGGTTGTGTTGGACTTGACAGGTATCCTACATTTCTGGAACTAACCTCATTTATGAAGATATACTTTGAGTAGCTAGACAAAGAATTTCTGAAACCTTCCTCCTTCCAGTCTCAGGAACACTTATTGAGAGTGTTGCCCTGCATGGGTCGACCTTGTCCATTTGGGTCAAGGAAAAGTTCACATTATGCTATGGAATTCAGTTCTACTCCTTCATCTGCTGGCATCCCCTGATGTTTATGGCATTTTACCTTACAATCCCTCAGTTAGAGAAAGGAAGATTTACCTACAGTACTTTTCTTTACTGAAGATGAGCAGAACAATACTAGTGTTCCTTAGTCAAGCTTGAAATTAGAACTTGAGGGGAAGCTTTCAGCATCCCAGGTGCTCAGGGTATTGTGTTACTTTGGGGACCTTGCACAGAAAGGGAAGAATGGGACTGGATCATCTTGCTCCTATGAGACTTTGGTGTTGGGTGTTAGCACATGAGTGTCTGACATACCTGAATGCTACAGCTTACATGGGAGAACTTTGCATATTCAGAACTTTGCATATTCCCCTTGGATCGAAACCTCCCACCCCAAATTGCTGACAGGATTCTGGGATTGTATGGCTCTATTCCAGTGATACAGACAGAAAACTTGCTTGAGAGTGTATTATTCATACTGTACTCTAACCTACAGGCTCAGTGTTGTTACATAGCAAAGCTTAATGTTCAAACGTTTCTTTCCAACAGGTTTTATGGAAAGAACTCTTCCTATGTCCATGGTGGCTTGGATTCCAATGGAAAACCAGCTGATGCAGTCTATGGGCAATCTGTAAGCACCTAAAAAAGGCTGTTCTTTCCTTGTATCTTGCTACCTTTGTGGTTGAGAAATGTATCCAGCTGTGGTTCACCCCCCTTGTGGTTAGTGCTTCCTGTAAAAAAAAACCAAAAAACCAAAAAAACCCAAAAAACAAATCCAAAGAAAAATAGGTAGAAAAAGCTGCCTTAACTGTAAGCTGCTTCCTTTATTGAAAGTTAATGATATAAAATTGCTTGCAAAGCAAACTCAAAGAGCGTGCTGCCAAGCTTTCTCTCCAGAGTTAGGAATATATTCTAAGATACTGTTTTATGATTTTTACTTTCTTTGAAAACTGAGAACTCAGCAGAAATGGCTTCTGCAGCGTAACCCTTCTGTACCATTTTTCCACAGGATATCCACAAGAAGGTGCTGTCCTTAAACTTCAAGGATTGCCACACAAAGATTCGTCACGTGGATGCCCATGCCACCCTCAACGATGGGGTTGTGGTGCAGGTGATGGGAGAGCTCTCCAACAACATGCAGCCTGTGCGCAGGTTCATGCAGACATTTGTGCTGGCACCCGAGGTAAGCTGTCCTGAGTGTGCTGTTAGTGCTGCTGCTGTCGTGTCAGGAGTAGTGAGGCCTGTCTGGTTCAGGGTTGGAGTCTGAAGGGCTAGACTGGGAAGGTAGCTTGCCACAAAATTCAGCAGTAATATTCTGAGAATTCCTTAGGAAATTATACCACTTCTGTATGGTCATAAGGTGACCTTGGATATAGAAATTACAGTTGTAAGCGTCCTGACTTTTGGCTCCTAGGTACGTGCAATGCATATTTTTTCCTTAAGCATAATCAAGTTATTTCATCTTTGATTTGCTCTCCTAGCAACTAGTCCTGTTAGTGAAAAGAACTAGTAGAAAGAGAATGCTTCCTGTTGTTTGAAAATGTGGTTGAAGACTTCCTTGTATCAAGCACTGATTTAGCATTTGAAGTGCTATTTTTAAGTAGACACATTTTATTAAGAAAGCAGTTCACAGAATTGAAAGTGATAGTGAAGAAAGGAATGTCATGAGATCACTTTTATTTTCCAATAGGACTTAGAGATAAGAATTGATACTTTAGACACCAGGAAGTTCTTGCTCATGCCTTTTCAGTGTTGTGAGCTATTAGAATTAAAAGCACAGATAAACCTTTGCCTTTGTTCCATGTACACTTGACTTGTTAGTATGTCTGTCTTGTTTTCCTGCCCCTAATAACATACCTTGTTGAAAGAGACAAGCTAGAAGTAATCCTGGGAGAGGGGGAAAGGATCGTTTACTCACATTATTTCACTTTTTACATTGCTGGATTGATGTAATTGAATTGGTTCCTCCCTTTTGTTTTACTTCTAGGGTTCTGTTGCAAACAAGTTCTATGTCCACAATGATATCTTCCGCTACCAGGATGAGGTTTTTGGGGACTCTGACACTGAGCCTCCAGAGGGTAAGTAGCAGAAATTTTTGGATGGTTCTATTGGTGTTTTGTTTCTGAATCTACATCAGCACTATATTCCCAGACCAAAGGAAATCTTCTCACTGACAAAGACAGATCAGTGTTAAATTTCATGTTCTTGTAGGTTTTTCCCTTGCCTGTAGTTTTTTTGCACTCCAGCAAGGAATTGTAACATGCAGATTTTTCTGGCATATTCTGTTTCTATTTATAAACTAAGATTTATTTTGGTAGTTTCAGTCAGATTTCTCTAAAGTATTTGGAACGTGTTTAACCTTGGTCAAAACCGAGTAACCAAAGTTATAGTGGAAATACAAGGAAATGTTTGTTCCATGTCATGTCTTGATACTGGTTCCAATATGCTCTTTGGCAGAGACTTCACCTGCATGTTGTGATAGGTGTCTTGTGTTTGAATCTTGTACTGAAGATGTGTATGGTGTATTTTTTTTTGTTTGTTTTTTAACCTTACTTAGAATCAGAGGAAGAAGGAGAGGAACCTGAGGAAAGACAGCAGACACCTGAGGCTGTTCCTGATGATACTGGTGCTTATTACGAGCAGGCTGTCAGGTAATAATGCATTTCTAGATGAAGTCAGATGTTGTGTCATACAGGCTGCTTGTGGAACAGGTCACACTCTATTACTGTTCATGGTTTACCTCTGACAGTCAAAAGATTTCTGTTTATTGGTCAGTGAAACCAAAATGCTGTTAGGCTGAACATGGAGACTTGATTTTTTAAAAAAAAATTTTTTTTGCTGCTCTGTAGTGTAATAATGCGAAACTTGCATCCCTGTGCAATTTGGCCTTACTTAAACAGGTTGGCCTCATTCTTCCACTCAGATGTCATGTTCCTGACATCTGTATTGGACAAGTAGCATTTCTTATCACCAGTAAGAGAATGAATACAATCCCACCTCTTCTGTCTCACTTTTTGTGCTGCTGTGTAATAGCAATGACATTGAGGAACACCTGGAAGAGGCTGCAGCAGAGGCAGAGCCTGAGCCAGAGGCAGAACCTGAACAGGAGGCTGAACCAGAGGCACAGGAAGAGAAGTCTGAGCCAGCACTGGAGGAGTCAGCTCCAGAAGAGACTGCAGAAAAGAGTCCTTCTCCAGCTCCTGCTGATCCAGCTCCTGCAGTGCAAGAGGACTCCAGGGTAATGAGAGTGGATGGTTCTTTTCTGTGATGTGGTGGTTTCATCAGTATGTTTGGCTCCCTGTCTTTTTATAGATGGTCCTCTTTCAAGTGTCTAGAATTAGAAGTGTTTGAATGCTCTGCTTCCCCCCTTCCCCAGGCTGCTCTGTGTTTGACCAGTTGCCTTCTTCCCATTAGTTTGTATATGATAACAGGTAGTTAAAATTCTAGGTAGTAAGTAGTTGGGTAAAATACCAGGAACTAAGGTAAGGCTTTGTGTACGTGGTAGGAATGGGAACTATAGCAGTAGGGAGAGGCTCAGATTCTTTGTAAACAGTGTCTGAAATTCTGAGCGTACTGCAGCCAATATGCTGAGTCAGGAAAACGAGTGAGCTCTAACTATTTCTGCCTGGGGATTTTTATCAATCTTCAGTGTTATGCGAGGCAAAAGCAGATAGATGGTACTCAGGAAACCAATACCTTGGTTAACCTTGATGTGATACTTGGTCTTGGGCCACTGCTGTGTCCTCGTTCAACTCTACATAGAATTTAGCAATAGGGTGGAAGTGTGACTCCACTGTCAGTACATTAAGTGTTTTTGTATGTAAGTCATTTGAAGGAAGTTCCAGAGAAACTGCTAGTGGTTGGATCCCAAATATTAGGGATAGGTTAAACTTTGTTATTTACCCTTTGTCTGTTAGCTGTACTATCAGGAATATATTTCAGAAGGATGCAAGCATCTGGAGTTATGTTATCTTTCTCTTTTCTAAGACATTCTCCTGGGCATCAGTAACCAGCAAGAACCTTCCTCCCAGTGGGGCTGTTCCAGTATCAGGAATACCACCTCATGTTGTGAAAGTACCAGTCTCACAGGTAGGAATCCAACACCTGGAGGAGTTCAAGTGCTAAACTGGCTGACAGTAAACTGAGGTGGGGAAAAGTGACATCTGCTTATGATCTGACTTCTCAGACTCCAGAGACTTTAAAATTCTATGATTCCTCATGGACATCATGAAAATATTATGCCTTGGCTTTTGGGTTGAGAATTAATTGTTTCTCATGAAGGAAAAGCAGGGAATGTTCATGTGATTGCTGGATGTATCTGTCATCTAAAATGATTGCACCCTCTTTAGTTAAGAGGCAACTTTTTATTTCCACTGCCTGTTTATGAATCCAGTCTGTCTGCCATTGCTATTCAGGTAGACACATTTTACTGTATGTAATCGTGACTATGGTGACTTTGCAGTTGTAACTTAATCAAGTGTCATGTTTGCTTTTAGCATATAAAGCCAACTTGAGCTAATGTGCAGTTGAGTCACAGATGGAAAGAACTATCGGGGAGGTTTTCCCATGTATTTTATCAACAACTTGACAAAGAGCTCTTAGCAGCTGAACCCTACTGGTGTGTCTGTCTGACTCTCAACTGTTTCCTCCTTTTTGAATTGATCCAGCCCCGCCCTGAGGCAAAGCCTGAATCTCAGACCCCTCCTCAGAGACCTCAGAGGGATCAGCGAGTGAGGGAGCAGCGAACAAGCATCCCACCACAGAGGGGTCCTAGACCAAGTAAGAGAAGCTCCAAAGAATAAACTGTTTTCTGTTCTACAAGGGTTTTGGGGAAGCAGTATGAGATCAGAGCTTTCAAAATCTCATTTTTGTCAGTCAGGAAACAATTTCTACTCAAGCTTTTGGCCTTAGTCAGGTGGTAAAGCAGTTATGAACTTGCTAGTGTAGAATGCTTAATCTTTTTCACATATGAATGGATAAACAATGTGAATTCTGATTCTTGTATGTTGTGCTAATTCTGACCATGGCTTGTTTTTCTGTTTGCTGTGGGGTCTGACTTGGCTTAAATAAGTTTCACTTTTCTCTTGAAGTTCGTGAGGGTGAACAAGGCGATGTGGAAACCAGAAGGATTGTGAGATACCCGGACAGTCATCAGCTTTTTGTTGGGAACCTTCCTCATGATGTGGATAAATCTGAACTTAAAGACTTTTTCCAAAGTAAGCTGGTTGCTTTGCTGTCATCTGAGGGGTTGGGGGTTGTGGCCATAGGTGTGGTCAACAGAGCATTCTAATGTATGACCCAAGAACTTGGCTTTTCTCTTGCAGGCTATGGCAATGTTGTTGAACTTCGCATCAACAGTGGTGGAAAGCTCCCCAATTTTGGGTTTGTGGTGTTTGATGATCCTGAACCAGTTCAGAAGATCCTTAGCAACAGGGTAAATAAACTAGTCAGTGGGTTTTGGTCTGTTGACAACAGACAATGTCTTTCAGATTAGCAGGAAAAGATTCTATCTACTTGGTCTCTTTGACACTTCTTGAGCATATTAAAGTAGGTGTGATGGCTTTCCCTCCTATTACCAAGGCTTGTGCAGCGTTTGTTACTGAGGCTTTTGTCATTGAAGTAGCTTGTAACAGCTTAGGTGAACATGAATTTGTTCATTACAGAGCCTTTTTCTAATGGGAAGTTGCTGAACACAGGAAGCAGGTAAATAGCTTTCAGGAAGGCAAGGTAGAGAGTCTGATTCTATGGACAAATAGAATCTTGTTTGTCAAAGAGGTTGAAAGGGAGAAGCTGTACTGGTGTGCTGCAAAGAATTTTGCTAACAAAGGCAAGAGGTACCTGCTCAGCCTGTCAGCAGTGATTGCTAATGCAGGATGTGCACCCATGACTGTGCTGTGGTAGGCAGTGGGTCTGGGTGCACCATCACAGCTGTTCTGTGTGTGTGCTTACAGCCCAGCTCTTCACCAGGGACTTCCTTACTGGACAGGAGTGCTGCCAGTAAATTTCTGTTCTTAATTTGAAAGGCAACTTGGGTGCAGATTTTTTAAACCTTGAGATTTGGTCTGAGTTTGGGACCTTTCATGTGGGCAGATGTCGCGGTTGAGACGGACATGCAGCATAAATCCACAGGAATAATGGTGAAAGGCAAAAACTTCTTTTCTTTATTGCAAGTTAGCTGGTTTTGTGCCTTTTTACATAAAGCGTGTCTTTTGTCCATTGGATATAACATATTACAAGCAACCTGTCATTGGCTACAAATGACATAAGCACACATTTCTTTTATCATCTTGTAAGACAGAAAGGCTTTCTCTTCTTTTGGCTCTTGTTCATCTTTTCTTCTGGTAAGCATGCCTCCTTCGTGCCTCCCTCTAGCTGCTGCAGCCATTCAAGGGTACACGATGATAGGCTCAAGGTTGAAGTCTGCAGGGCCTTCAGACCAGCTGTCAGCTCCCACAGCTCCTACAGATCCCACAGGCAGACACCTTTTATTGTGGGAAGCAGCAGCATTTATGGCAGTGCTGATGAGTTTGTGCAGCTGAAGCCCAGCCCCCCTAGGATTCTTGCAGGACTGAATCAAGATCAGGATGCTCACAGAGGTGCTTACTTAAGTGCTTTCCTTCTGTCCTGGGCAGAACAGTTCCAGTGTGGCCTAGGGCAGAGTCTAATACAGGTGATTTGAAAACAGTGCTAGAAGTAGGTTGAGTAAATGTGGTTGACTTTGTCCAGAATTGGTGTGGGAATAAGTGGTACAGTGGCAGTGGGTCCTTATATCACTTCCTAGCTGCAAGCAGTATGTGAACATCTTTGGCAGTGACTTACACTTGCATGTTTGGGGTTTAGTTGCAACAAACTAGAAATGGTGACTCGTGAGTTCTCTTGCAGTGGGAGAGGCAGCTCAGAGCTGAGTGCCAGATGTTAAGTCTAGGGAATGCCAAAGGCACACTCAGCAAGAGGGTTTTGTGGACTCAGTTTACTTGTACAGCTGTGAGCTCTGTCATTGGAGCTAGAGCAGAGAGTGGATGTTGACTTCCAGCTTAGGCTTTGAATGTGCTGCTCTTTGCCCTCCTCGAGTCATCAGCTGTGCTGGACAATGTGCTCCAGCCTTAGATCTGTTCTTCTACAGTCAGTTCAGCAGAAGTGTGAACAACTTGTCTTTCCATTGGATGAGAGAGCATTGTGCCTGTACCAAGGATGGATCATGCTTTTCACATTCTTGCATGGAATAATTTGGAACAAGCAAATCCTTAGTCGTCCTGTAGTTGGTAGATTCTTGCAGACTTCAACATTTTGTCTGCAGTGGGATGTTGCAGTCCTGCTCCTCTTTGGTTTTGCTTCACTGAGGTCTCTCAATCATCACTGCAGTTCTAAAACAATGGGCTTGACCTAAGTGAAAGGCCTGACTGGGCTGTGTGGGAAGGTGGCAGACAAGGAAGGATCTGACATTCTTCATGCCATAAGACAAATCAGGGGGCACTCTGCATGGTGGTAGACTGAATTGCTGCTTAATAATGAAAGGAGGTTGCCCTTAATAGTTCACTTTCTTTTCTAAAACACGTCAAAGTGTTCAGTGTAGAGCCTGAGATTGCTCTTCAAGTGTCACTCCACAGCTTTATCCTCTCCAGTAAAACCACAAGAGACTGGATGCATAGCTTGCCTGTTGCCATTGGTTAGTAAGAAATCCTAAACCACTTCAGTCTTTGATGGAGAGGAGGCTGTGAGACAAGGTTGCAGGAATCTGCTTGACCTTGAAGAGCAACTGGTGAGTCATTAACGCAAGTACCTTCTCTGCTTTCATTGCAGCCCATCATGTTCAGGGGAGAGGTGCGCCTGAACGTGGAGGAGAAGAAGACGCGAGCTGCCAGGGAGGGTGACCGCAGAGATAACAGACCTCGTGGACCTGGAGGCACTCGTGGGGGGCTGGGAGGTGGGATTCGAGGGCCTCCTCGTGGAGGAATGTCCCAGAAGCCAGGATTTGGAGCTGGAAGGGGGATCGGGCAACGCCAGTGAATGCATCGTGGATGTTGACGTGGTGGCGCAAACCCTTTTTCCTGCAGATTTGTGAATTTCAGCCTTGGGTATCTTGGAATGTGGCCCTAGCCTGTTATAGACTGCTACGTTTGATACTATTTTGGCCCCTTTTTGTTTGTGTTATGGTTCTGTGATTTTATTTTTTTCTAGTCCTTGTCCCAGATTCCAGCTTTGTGGAACAATGTTTTAGGAAAAGTGGATTTTAAAAAGAACGGAACTGAATTTTCTTCTTCACCTCAAACTTACGGACTGGATTTTTTTGGTACCAGTGGTTTTTCCTAAAGGAATGTCTTTCTTTTTTTTTCTTTTTTTCTTTTTTTCCTCCCCCCTTCCTACTGAATTTGAGTGCATTTCAGTCAGTGGAATAATATTTCACGTGCATGCGTTCAAGAGCCTGTAGGAAAACGTAGTACTTGGCAAGTATTTCAAGGGCAGAAAAACAAAACTATTGATTTATTCTTTGAGGGTCATACGAACATCCTCTGGTCTGGAGATATTGCCACTTGACAAATTGACTTTCTCTTTGTGGCGCTGTAAAAGTGGAATAATGGGTTTCTGTAGGATCTCTTTTTCTTTTGATACATGATCACAGAAATGAATTCGAACTACTGTTTTACCACTTTGAAATTTTGGATTGTGGGATAGGTTTTAAATGTCTAGAACTTGACTCTTGAAACACTTTTCCTGAACTTGTGAAATTTTTTTATTGAACTAGGGAGTTTTTTTCATGTTTAGTTTGTATTTGTATAAAAAAAAAGCAAAATTGTTGTGCCTTCTATTTATCTCTCATTCCAGTCTTGGCGAATTGTTTAATAAAATAAAAATAAAAAAGGTCTAGATTTGCTTTATCAAGTCAAGAGTATGTTGGAGTTCTTCCAAGAAAAAGAGGTTCTTCCTTCAGTCACTAGGTTTACTAGGTAGAGGTGATTAAAGTTTTTAATACCTCCTGTTCATCAGCTTGGCTGCATTTAAATAATTGAAAACAAGTACTTATTGGATGCAGAATTTTGTAACTTCAACTCGAGGTTGGGCAGGTCCTGTTACAAATGTTGCAAAAGTACAGCTGAATCAGAAATACCTTTGTCATCATCCTTTACAGTCCCAACTGCTGTGTGTAATAGTTATTTTTGCAGTACTTCATCCCCTGCTTCTGCCAGACCTGAAGTGGATGGATGGCACTTTGGTCAGAAGTATGGAAGGTGGTGCCTGTCTGTCCTGGTGTTAAGGTGTTGAACACTCTCCACTGCCTCTGAAAGAAGATGAAACTGAAAATAAAAAATGCAAAACTTGGTGATTTCAATGCAAGAGATCGTGTAAGATTGTGCTGCACAAAGCAGCATTCCTGTGATGCAATGTGTTAAACCTCCCGGATGAAACTGCAGTTCTGTGTCACTCCAGACCTTCAGATCTCTTGGTAGCACGACAGAGCTGCTGAGAACGTTTGCTTTCCTGTGTCACATTTCACTGTTTCCATGTTTCCTCAATTTATTACCACAATGGCTGTGCATATGCAATGTGTCATCTCTCTGGACTTGTGCTTACCTTGACCCTGGAGCTGAGCTGCCCAAGGGATGGATTGGTATTACCTGTTCCAAACAGTCATGTTTTGCCTTTTACTTGCCAAACTTAGTGGTTGAACCTGGTTGTACTAAATGTTGGTAGTGTCAGTTTCTGTTTTATCTTTCTCTTCAGAGTTGTTACAATGTTTGTCCCTTCCCTCCTTATGAATGTGTCTGATTGTCCTGCTTACAATCTGTACCTGGAGATTGAAGTACCTTAGCCAACTGAGGGAGAGCACAGTGTGGCTGCAGTTCCTCTGCTGTGCTCTCACAGCAGCATACTGGAAATTCTGCTGCTTCCTCTTGTGGTGGTAACTGGTATTTTTTCAAAACAAAAACCTGCATTTCTCCTCTCAGGAATGTCTGTGAGGCAAAGGTATGCAATGGAAGTCATATGCTGAACTCTTAGTTGTTTGTGATGTGTTTTTCTCTTTGTTGGCTTTTTACTGTTCTTGATGTTAAATCCAAGACTGCAGTAACAGGTTGCACTTCAGACTTATCAAAGTGCTTTTAATAGAAGCTTTTATAGTTTTTAACTAAATTTGCGAAGCATCTGTAAGCCTGAAACCTATTTTCTGTAGTGAGAGTTGGATAGTTCTGGCTCACTGTCTTGATTTGAAAGAGGAATGTCAGTGAAGACACCCTGTAGGGTGAAGTGTGTGCTTGTTCTCATATGAATCACAGTCTCAGTGTTGACCCAGAAGATGATGTTCTTGTCCAAGATGACAGGCAAAATAAAATATTTGCATAAAATCTTCTTGGAATGTCTTGTAAAGAAGTACTTCTCCAAAGCAAGTTATGTTGCCAGCATCATGTTCAAAGTGTAGAGTGACTCTTGGTATTTGCACTTTGGTGGTTCTGTGACTCAAAATAACAAAGTCCACTAAAAAGTCCTGCTGTAAAATGTTGTCACGTTGACCCCTTTATTTTTTGTTTTTGTTTAAGCTTTATAGTAGCCCTCAAACCTTCTGGTTTCTGCATTGCTCTGCTGTTAAAACCTCAGTCTTTTGTCTGAGGTCTCCAAGGCTTTGTATACGTTTAGGGTGAAGGTGACTATGAAGAAATCATGATTTGCTTGGGCTCAGCTGGCTACAGTGACCTAGAAAAATGGCTCCAAGAAGGCTGATACCTAATAACCAAGGTAGCCCAGCTCTTTCTAGAAAGTGCTACAGGGAAGTCTCAAATGAATCAGACTGTGTCTCTGTGCCAGTGCCTCCAGCTCAAGACAAGGATGGTGTGACTGAAGTGCTCTGGATGTTCCAGTACTCTGCAGAGAGAGGGAAGTGGAGAGAAGTTGGTGAGACCTGTCATAGGCTTTTGCACCCACACCAGCCACATGGAGAGTGCTGGAATAACCTTATGATACCTTGATCTGCCCTTGTGAGAGCACAGGAGTGTGATCTGACCTCTTCTGGCTGATCCTAGTAGTGTAAGACCAGTAGACATAAGAGCATTTCACTTAGAGTAGTGCTTCAGACCACCCAAACCAGAAGCTTTGCTGCCTTTTCTTTGGTTAAGGCCATTGCACAATTGCAAGGTTTAGTTATCCCCTTTCCTTAAGCAGGGAGAAAGCACCTGGAGTACTTGGAAGTACCACCAGACCTGTGTGGGGCTGTTGTGTCAAGTCGAATTGAAATTTCAGTGTGTTGGGGACTGCCGGTGCTCTGCAGCTGAGGATTCAGGCAGGGATCACTGCTTGCCCTGCAGGGCCCTCTGACAGGTTCCTGGGTGTACAGGAGCCACATAAAATCAAGCATGGAGGTGGTGAGTGTGCTGCTGGAAGCAGAACTTTGCACAGAGCATTTCCTCCTGGAGCAGGAAACTGAACCTGTGTGGGAACAGTGAGCTCTGACTGGAATCTGCATCAGAATCATCCCTCAGTGGTGCCACGTGACAGGGAGGTCTATTAAACCCTGGAACTCCTTTTCCTTGGTGCAAAGCATGATTCTGGATGCAGGTATGAAGCTCTGGAGTTGATACCTGCATCTGCTTATTCTGCACATCAAGGAGGAGTGTATTTTTTAACAGTTTCTGAATTATTTCTCTTTCCTTACAAAGTGCTGCCTGGGGCTAGGAGCACATAGCACATGAGCAGTTCTAAGCTGTGTGTGCTGTAGCAGGAAGGAATTCTTGGAGATGATTTAATTTCCCAGCAGTAGCATTCTTCCCTTGGCTGCTAACTTGAAAAGCTGCTCTCCTAAGGTTTTGTCTTGTTTGCATGTGTGGAAGATGGGGCAAAGGGTTTGGTAATAGCTTATCTGATTATGAGTAAACTGAGTAAAATTCTTTCAAGCTCAGTCATTCCTTAAAGACAGCAGATTTTAGAGTAATGGTGTGTTCTCAGAATAGATTTGAAGGGCAGGATGTTGCCTTTCTATTTTCTGTCACAAAAATGCCACTTGCCTGCCAAGCCAAGAGAGATCTGCTGTTCCACTGATGATATTTCAAACTTTTGACAAAGCACCTGGGTGGAATAAAAAGTACTTTTATCATGTCCATCTTTAAGATTCAGTGTGAGTGGCAGTCCTTGAGCATTCTGAAATGTCATTTTGGGTGTCTGCACCAAGGTCAGTTTATCTACCAAAGAATTTTAAGGCAAGGTATATATGATGCCATGTCCTAGCTTGCAAAGTGGTACAAGAAATGTTTTTTTCATTATACAGACCCTAGGCACAAGCAGTTAAACTCCCAGGCAGAAGCTGTTTCAACTTCCAGGAGAATTTAAGCCATAGAATCATAGGATCAACCAGGTTGGAAAAGACCTTTAAGATCATCAAGTCCAACCCTACTGTGGTTACTAGACCATGGCACTAAGTGCCACATCCAGTCTCATCTTAAAAGTCTGCAGGGATGGTGAATCCACCATAGTTTGACTCTACTGAAAGTATTGCTGTTCATTTGGGCCTGAGTAAAATCAGATACTGTAAAAAGCAAGCCCAACGTGGACCTCTGGAGATCATCTAGTCCAATCCCTTCTGACCCTAACTGTTCTGTGAACTTTCTGCTGGGTGTACCTGTCACTGCTGTGTGAAAGACAAGAGCAACTTAAGAGGTGTGAGATGTGATGTGTCCCTCTTGTGGAAAACTTGATTCTGCTTCCTGGTCTTAATATAAAATCCTGGGAAAGGAAGGATGATTGTGTTGGCAACTGTGTTAGTCCTGGAAGTCTGAAACGAGGAGGAGCAGTGCACGAGCCTGAGTGCTGTGGCTGCTGCTGCTGTAGGAATTCCTCTGTGAGGTGGAGCTCAGGTGGTCACAGATGAGAGAGATTAATTCCTCAGAATAAAAGCCTTAGTGGTAAAACATCTATTGCCTTATTTTCATGAAATGTGTTGGCACAAATGTGGCAGCAATGTGGGCATGGAACCTCCAACACTAAAAATCCACGGAGAGAATTTCAGAAAAATCTTTTATTTTTTTTTATTGGAATCAGCATGAATGTATGATTAATAAATATATTTTATATACATTTAACAGCAGAAACTTTACATTCCATCTTCAAACTGCTGAAATAGAACTTCTGTTTTAAAATTATTATTTTTTTTACAAGCCAGAAAAATAATCTGCCACTGTGTCTGTGTGGTCATGCAAACTGTCTCAGTTACAGGTTTATTTCATCATGATGTAAAAATACTGATTTGAAGGACGCAATTACTTTGCACTCTGACCAATGTAGCAAAATATCCTTAAATGGAGTGTAAGGCCATACCAATGTGAATATACATGTGTTTATGTATAGGTATATGTAATAAATTCATATAGAAAAGACAGGGAGGTCCCTTTTTAAGGTGGGTAGGGAGAAGATATGTGAGTACTTGAAGATTAAGCTAGTTTATTTCTTTTGAAGAGTTTTACATTGTAAGTTTTAAGCATTAGTGCTATTTGTCTTTTGTATTTCTCTAGTCCTTCCTCTGTTCTTGAAGGGAGAATAGCATGAAAATTAATAGGCATTGACTTTTCCATTCCTTTTTTCAGATTTCTGCTAATGAACCAGTAGAGGCACTCAGAGAGCACTTGTTTCACCCACTTCTCTCCCTTCTTACCTGAACTACAGAGATTAATTCTTACTCTGTGGCTATTTTTCTGATTATATCCTGTGAGATGCTGATATTTTAGCACCCACTTTGCGAGGGAGAAAATGAAAGCAGCTGAATACCAACTATGTAATTGTCTGTTTTAAAGATGCTTATGTGAAGTTAAAGGGAAGATGGATTTTGTCCTCTGAATTTCTTTTCCTATGCTCAAGAGTTGATCAAATGGGGGCAGTTTTCATTGCACTGCTTCCTTCTGAGA